AAGAGATTCCTTTCTAGATGGGGAGAACAGCCATGTAAGGCAAATATTTCTTTCTTTTTAAAGGCTTTGTTGTGAACAACAGCTGCATGAAGTAGGACAGCAGCGTGGATTTGAAGATGTTTATCGTGAGCTGAAGCAGAGAGGGCAGTTAGGCTGGTGACCCTAATTGAGAAAGTTACTGGAGCGGGGGTGGGGGGTAGAGGAATGGGGGGTGGGAGGTGTGGGGGTGACAAAGAGGGTGTCTTCAAAGGAACAGGCTGGGAAAAAATATCTTTTGTTAGATGGTGATGTGGCAAAATGGTGCTTAGGAAGGCCACTGAAAAGCACAGACCAGTCAAGCAGGAGTGTAATGGTATGTGTTTGTGGGTTTCAGACATTGGGCAGAAAAGGTCTGAAGGTAGCTAACATAGATCTGTGGTTCCTCCATGAAGGGTGGTACAAAAGTTGCAGGTGCTAGGGGAGGCTGTGTGAGGTTCTTGTGTTCAGTGATGAAGAATTTAGGTGAGGAAGGGAAAAGGGTGTACATAGTGTGGCTCAATTTACCCTTGTGCTGATGGTTGAGATTCTCTGAACAGAATCTGTATGAGATGGCAAGGGTGGCACATCTCATGGAGAGGTGTTGGTCTGAGAGATGTGGTCAGGCAGGAGGCAAACTTGTCTGCCAAGCTGTGGAGGGAGAAAGATTGTCAGGGACTGGAGAAGGTAGGAGAGGTGAATGCTGCCTTTGTAAATGAAAGTCAAAGAAGTAGAAATTGTTGTGTTGAAGTACTATGGAAGTGAAGGGGAACCATTGGGGATGGGGGAGGATAAGAACTGTAGATAGTAGAGCATGGCTGTTATTTATTGGGGAGTGACAGGGGAGGCTATAAGGGAGAGAAGAGTAACAGCATAATGCCAACCAGGAAAAAACTTTGAGGTTGAAGTAGTAAAAAATATCTGTAATGTAGTTCATGTGAGGATCAAACACAGAGGGGCAATTTTGTTCTCCTGATCACCTCTGCGAAGAAATGGTAAATGGTGAGCAGGGGGCTCAACAGAATGCAAAATGCCCAATTTCCCACCAGCTTGATGGTTGGGATGGAGCAGAGCTGCTTTAGGGCAGGTGGCAGAAGGCAAGACGAGAACTTGTTGCAGAGAGCATCTGCTTGGTTGGTGACATCTTGCACAGAGATGACCGGAGTGAGATGGAGAGCAGTGCAAAAGAGTGCTGAGTGAGTTGGGGAAGACATGGCTGTGGGAGAAACGGGAAGACAGAAGGATGACAGCTGAGCTCAGGGCCCAGTTGAAACCACCTGGTACAAAACCATTTACTTTTGGTCTTCCCTCCTTCTTACTGATAAAGTTGCCCTGGTCAGGTAGTCTTCATTCTGAAAATCTCATGGGTAAGCAGAAATTACAGTCTGTGCATGGATGGGAGTGTTTGTTTTTCTTTCTGTCCCTGATACTTTGTGGGAGAAGTAAGTGGTTAATGTAATTCATGTTTATTGCTAAATGTCGTTCTCTGATGTTCTCTTATTACAATAGCTTAAACTCAAAGCTAGCAATAAGCCAGAGGGATAGCATCTCATAAACATAGCACTTTTTCTTATAACCCCATAAATTTTTTGAAATCACCTTTTCTGAAAAATGAAAAGGTCACTTTGTCTTGCAGAAAACTCCTCTGTTTTGTTTCACAAAATAGCAGCACTGTGTGGAAGCAGACCTCAAAATCCTGTTCCTTTCTACCCTCACTGCTGCACCCCACCCTCTTTTTAGAAAAGTTTTTTAAAAAGAGCTTGATTGCTGTTAGGAGCCCATCTAAGTTTTGGTCAGCTGGCTGTGACTTTCTTCTTTTCTGTAATTCATCAGAACACTTTTTTCCTTTTCTTGTAATTGTTTTTCTTGGCCTCTGGTTTTGCTCAGGGCTCCTGCATACTGCATGGCATTTGTTTTGGATGCTTTTGGTCATCTAGTTGCAGACAGCAAGTACAGTGGCTGGCAGATACTTCGGAGGAACTTAGGACAGAGCGTATTCTTTGTAAAGCCAAGTTGACAATTCTTTTTAGTTTTTTCTTCTCCCTTCCCCCCCTCCACAACATAATTAGCTCTGTTAGACTAAATTCATTTAAGTTCCCTTGGGCTTTCCTGCCCTCTGACTTTTGCAATAGTAGATGCAGTATTTGCATTAGATAAAAAGGTCAGAATCATTTACTTCATTATAGAAAAGTAATCTGCTTGTTAAAACTGTTAGTTTGTCAAACAGTGTAATACAGTATTGTTCTGGCAGAGACTGTGCTAGCAAACACCAGTGCTTGTGTCTCTTTCATTGGAGTGATAGACTAAAGATGAACTTTGTAGCTTAGAAAAGCAGATAGCCATCGTGACAGTCTTTGAAAAGCCTTCAGAATTTGAAGTTTCTGGAAGATACGTGGTGGGTGCTATCTTGAAATCCTGGCTGAATACAATGCAGAGCACCCGGTCTCCTAGCTGTGTGGTACTGCAAAACCTATTATTACTGTGATACTCTCTATCAGCCTCATTAGGGATGATGAATGAGCGGTCACTGCTGAAGCATTTTTTACCCTCCTCTGAAAGGACCCGCTGACAATGGTTGCTGCCTGTGCATGTGCCCAGGGTATATTAATCAGCTAAGCTACAACTACAGCAATGCTAGCCTTTAAACAACAAAACGTCATCTGCATTTCCGTTTAAATCCCTTCTGAAGGGACTTCCTTCCCCTCTGCGGAGTCGCCTTCCAGCTCCCTTGCCTTGAAGGGCTGCTTCATGCAGAGACATGTGAAATCTCATACGCTAGTTTATTGCTGTCATTCTCCTACACAAAAGAGTTTGACTCTTGGCTCTCCCAAGGCTGAACAAGTTGATTTGGCTACGCAGTGTTAGTATCAGCCCTCAGTACCCCAGTTCTGCAGTAGGATCCCTATGGTGTGCCAGTACTCCGTGTTGCCTTCCACAGATACCTGATGTGCCTCAGAACATGCTTCCTGCAGGGCCTAGGCTAGGAGGCCTGGTCTCCTCACTGATGCCTGCCGCTCCTGTAGCAGCCTAAGCTCAGCCTGGGGTTGTAATAGCTGTCCTTGCTTCTTCTCTCCTTTCCCATGTCACTTTTCTCCTGAAGGTGGTGTTCCTAGCGCTGGGCGCATCAGGACCCACAGGCTCACCAAGGCAGACATCCAGGTGTTTTGTAGGCTGGGGTGAGTGAGTGCCATGCCTGTTTGTGGGGCTAAGTGCCCTGCTTGGTAACTGAGTGTTTGCTGGGACTTGTACCCAGGGAATGTTGCTTTGGCTAAAGGGATGCTGTGTTCAGGTGTGCTGAGGAGTGTAGCTGTAAACAAGACTTACAGGAGATTTTGTTGCTGCCTCTTAAGCTTGCTCTGTAAGTGCTTAACTTGTCAGGTGAATGTGACTTCTTTCATACCTAAAGAAAAACTTTTAGATACTGTTCAAATGAAGATGTCGACTTTCCTATTGACATATTTTAAACTGAAAGAGTAAGATGTCACTTGGATGTTTCTTCACAGAGGAGTGGGGGTTGAGGACAAAGAGACTTTTTTTCTTCCATTGGAACCAGCTGTGGTTTGTTTGGCTTTTGTGCATTATGATGGGCACTCTGAATTGAAATCCAAACTGGAACTAGCAGTTAATATTACAAACAAGCAGCTTAATTTGACTAAACGAGCTTTCAGATGATCACAACTAGGCTTTGATGCTGAAGAGTGGGATTTTCATAACTGCGGAAGTAATTTGAGAACATGCTTGCACCCAAAAGCTAGCAGGGCTTTTTTTCCCCCCCTCGAATAAATATGGTTCTGGTGATGATTCATACTTTTGTTATCCTCAGCAAAAGAGTGGCTTGCATGTGTAAGTTGATTTAACAACTGAGAGCCTCTGCTTTGAGAAAGAACTTACAAAAAGTTCTCAGTTTTCTTTGATCTTTTTGTTTGGATGCTTTTTGTTTTCTTTTGTCTGTGGTCTCTTGCCTGGCATTGACTGACTTTGCAAATGAGAACTTCTGTGAGATGCCAGTCACTGCCTTATTCCTGGATTTATATTTAAATGTTTTCAGAAATGAGTGTGATGAAGAGGTTCAGTTGATAAACACTAGCACTAAATGATCTAAGTTAGGGAAAGAAACGTACCAGACAGTTGTCTTGTTGGTTTAGCTGGATGCCTGATTTTTCACGCCATTCATTTCTAAGACTGGAGAATCTGATAGTTTCCTCCTGTTCTTAGCATACTCACTTTCTGATATCAGAAGTAAGGCTAATTAAAGTCTTTAATACAATCACTTTTTGACTTATTTAAAATAACTTCATGTATTTAAAACACATTAAATTGTTCTGTGCCAAACCATCTCTCCTGGATTTTTAATTTTTTTTTAACTCACTTGTAAAGCTTCAAAACTAGAAACCAATGGAGTGACGGAAAAATTAAACCTGTAGAAACACACTTGAAGGACTTTGCTCATTCTGTATGGATGCCAGGAAATTTTGGGGGCATGTAGAGTGAGTGTAACTTCCTAATAGCAGGCTGTGTGCTTACATACCGCGCTAAGAAGTATCGTGGTTGGGATCCCAGTGGTATTGATGGAAAGCATGCAAAGAATTTTTATTAAGGTTGTTTGAAAGCTGAGGAACTTCTTTTGAAAGCAGTAGAGTGAGCACTTCTGCTTCAGAGAAACTTGTTCTGTGAATGTCTGAGATCGTGATGATAATGATGGCGCTTCAGAGTTGAATCCTACCAACGTAATCCTCTGGGATGAGAACTTAGTGTGTATCTTCAGATATTAAGGTGGCATGTGAAAGCATATCTATTGTCAGGCAGGGTGGTGTCTTGGTAGCTGTGGTTATATGCTAACAGGGGGGCTTAATAGGGTGTTTGTAGACCAGAAAGCACTGATATGTATAGAAAGGAAAGATCATGGGCACTGTGTTTAAGCGCCAAGCTAAGACATTGTGCTTTGGTGATGTCTGAAAGCAGATACTCTTTGTTTTCTCTTGCAGTTTGGGGCAGAGTTCAGAAGATTCTCCCTAGACCGCTACAAGCCAGGAAAGTTTGAAGACTTCTATAAACTAATTCTTCATATTCATCACATAGCCAACCTGGAAGTGATGATTGGATATGCTGATGTGCATGGAGACCTTCTCCCTATTAATAACGATGACAACTTTTTCAAGGCTGTTTCAAGTGCTCATCCGCTGCTCAGGGTTTTTATACAAAGACAAGGTAAGACGTGATTCTCATTTCAGTGTACTGAAAAATGCTGGTACAAGGTGGCCCTCATTTAAAGGCTGGGGTGATGTAAGAGGAGCTTGGGATCTTCTCTCAGGGTTGCAGGCTGCTCCTTCAGGCACTTTGTTATGATGTGCCGAAGTGGTGTGGTGTCAGTGGAAGTAGAAGTATGGTATCTGGGTATCACCCCAAGACCCTTCTTTTCCCAGGTGAATGTGCCTCATGCTGTCTGTGCTCTGTTATCACTGCAGCCAGTAGTGCTGCTCTGCCTGATTGTGGGAGGGGGATTATAGTACTGTATTACTGCAACGCATTTAGAAATCCCTGGTCTAGTGGTTACCGACCCTGCACGTGGCAGGGGTTTGAAAATAGATGATCGTTGTGGTCCTTTTCCTCCCAGACCATTCTATGATCCATCGTGATAGTAACATCATACTCAAATATTCACGTCTGTGTAGTGTATAAACTGAAAGATATATAGGTATGTAAGAGGGGAAGAAAAAAGTTACGCTGCAAACGAAGTCTTGTTTGACTCTGATGTGCAAACAGATGATCTCCCCTCTGTCCTTATGTAAATGACTTAATTTTTTTTTTCCTGATTTTTAAATCGAGCATTGGGCAGAATTGCCTGAATGTCACAGTGAGTTCAGGTTTAAGCTGCTGTGTGTTATTCTTGTAAAGCTTTTATTGCAGATAACTGAAACTATTCTCTACCTTCCCCCCAGAGACTGTGTTTGACAGTTGCTTCAGACAAGGTGTCTTCCCACAGAACTCATTAAATCCCACAGGAACCTGATGCCATGTTAACACTGCTTCCACAGTGTTTTCAGACACGTAGTGTCTGAAACAGGTTTAGGAATTAAACTCGCATCGGTAGCAGAGTCAGAAATGGGACCTCGTCTGTGACTTGGAACACTCTGGAGCTGGACTCTGCTGCTTGGGTTTTGTGCTGATTAGGATTTGGCAAGGGGCTCCAGCCTGCTCACTGATAGGAGCTAATTTAGTGTGCAGTTTAATTTGGTGTCATCAGATACAGAGATCTCTGTGGCCCTCCCCATTCAGAGTGTGTTATCTGCCTCCTTTTAGATCTAAACCTAGACAAGTTTTGTTTGTTTGTGTGTCTGTTGTATGAGTGGGAATGTCTGTTAGAGAGGACTTGAGTTGCTGTCTCTCCTTTCTCATACAGGAAATGCCAAGTCAGATGATAAACCCTCTTATATCTCCTTCCTGCAATGCCTGTTAGGGCTTGAATGTTCATGGTGGGTTAAGTCATAAGAAGTTGCTTGCATGATTTTGTCATGCCTGCTTCAGTTCAAGTTCATTCATGTGCCTCTGGATCAATCCCATTCAAAATGTGGCTGTTCTTGCTCTGTGCAGACCACTGGAAGTTGAGTATCCCTAGCTGTGCTGAGAGAGGAGTCGAAACACAACTGCTGGTCACACAAGGAAGCAAAGGAACGAAAAATTGGTTAGGTGTGGAAAAAGTGCTCTCCCATTATTCAGTAAGAGGTAGTGTGCTATGGGTAAAGGTTTTTAACTTTTAACCGTAGTGGAAAAATACAGCATTTCCCTCTTTTTTTTTTTTTTTTTTTTAATTTTAAATTTTAATTTAATTTTTTTTTTTTTTTTAATTTTAAATTTTAGTGGAAAGAATTACGCTGACTCAAAAAGGAAGCTTATATAAGAGGAAAGACAAATCAGTGCTTCTCTACATGTGGCAATGCCTGAAAGCTTTTCCAACGTGCATTCTCCTGTGCTCCCTCTAAAGCCAAAATGAATTCTGGTCAGTCCCTTTGATTAATGGCACCTTTTAATATGGGACTCCTGTGGTTAACACTTGAGACACATACTTGTCCAAGGTGGTTTGGAAGCATCCACGTTTCCTTGTATGGGAAACAACCTTGAGAAATTGTTCCCTTCAAAATTAGCATGGGTTCCTGGAATCTTGTTCCTCTTCCTCCTTTTCTCCATCAGACCTCCCGCCCCCTGCTTTCCTTGAAGCAGTGCTGGCCCTTCTGCTGGAGAGCTGTGCAGGGGAGCAATGTGCTAGGCACCTTTCCCAGAGAGCAGGAAACCACTGTGCCATCCAGGGGAATGTGGTGTGTCTGCAGTGCTTCAGCTCACACCCTAAACTCTGGCTGCGGAGGTGGGAAATTAAGTTGACAAGGATGCCAGTAAAATATGAAGCCAGTCCTCTTCTGTGACTTTGAAGGAGACTGCAGAGCACAGACTCTTAAGTCTGCTGGGTCATGGATTGCTGTCCATTGGTGGGAGAAATTCCAGGAGGTGGCTGCCAAAGGTTGTTCCTGCAGTGTTACAGAGTGGAGGGGTTTGGGGGACAGAAGTACGTAGACATGGAACGAGTGAATAGTTGAGCTTCAGGCCTTTTTGTAGTAGAGTGGACTGTTTATCAACTACTTGATGAGTCATTCTATTTTTCCAGATTATAGCTGGGTTATCCTTTCTCTTGTCAAGTAGGTTAAGTAATCACATTAAATGAGTTTAACTGTTTGTTAGCAGAGTGACAGAGCAGATGGCTTACTCTTTGCATAAAAATCAAGCAATAATTTGCTAGGGTTTTTTTGTTTGCCTTGTTGGTTTTTTTTTTTTTTTTTCTTTTAAACCTGAGCTTCGTCTGGCACTCCTTTAATTCAAAAGTACTTTCCCAACTTGTCCCCAGAGGCCAGTCACATAGATTGATTCTCACATGCCAGACTGATGTCTAGGTGTGAGATAGCTGTATTATTCTGTGTCCTCATTCTTGTTCGTGTCTCAAGAGCCCCAAAATTTTCAGGATCATAGCAACTGTTCCCTCTTCTAGGCAGTGGATGTCAGTGCTTATTAGCCAGCCTTTTTATTCAGAGCTGGAATCCCAGTGTGCCTGCAACAGTTACTCTGGATGCTTTTGGGGGTCTTTAAGCCCTGAGGACATCTGCTGGTTAGATCTGGGTGAACTCAGCTCAGACTGATCCATCTGCTGAAAGCATGTGTTGCTCTTCCCTCCAAATTGCAGTGCAGATAGAAATCCTAATTAGACAACCAGACTATAAAAAGAAAAGCCAGTTTTTCTTTGTCTTGCTTTCCCAGGCTACAGAATGGGCTGTGTCCTCAGTTGCTGTAAGCTGATGTGGCTCTTGACTTCATTAGCACAATAGCAGTTGATATCAGCTGATGCTTCCAGCCCAAGAATTTATTTACTTGGCTGTGATTGATATCAGACATATCCAGAACTCCATGGAAGATGCCTGCTGCTGGGGAAAGGATGGATATACCAAAGACTCTAGAACAATGCGAAGAATTTGTAGATCTGTTTGACTTACTCCACAATAACTGAACTCTTGTACTCTAGTTGAAACCTGTGTGAATGAAGAGCTTATCTGAAGATACAGTTGTTTATTGTTTTTTTCAAGACTTCATTTGTTTTATGTCTGATTTAAACTACAGCTCTGGGGAGGTGCAGTCTTCTGAATACAGCAAAAATGTTTAAGCTGTGAGTTCAAACAGAAACAAAGACCTGAAAAACTGAAAGGGATCAGTATTACATATTGCAAATGCATTTCGTTTCTCCTTGCATGATTAAATGGAATGACATGACTGTCAAATCTTGTTTGTAATACCTGTCTCCCAGAGTCAGTGTGTGTGCAAACTAGGCTGTTTTGGAGGCTTTTAAAAAGGAATAATTGTAAATGCAGTGACTCTCATTATAAACCTGCCTTGAAACAGCTCCTTGAATTCTGTGAGTGAGACACAAGGATATTAGTGAAGGTCTGTGAGATAAGAGATTCCAGGATTTTCCCTCATTTGCTTGGATATATCAGTGTGGCATGCTTAACCTAGTAAGGTTAGAAACTGAAAAGTATTGCAGGATGAAGATGCTGATCACCCTGCAAGTACTCTGCAGCATTTTTTTCCCCAAGCAATGGAGGTAGGTCCCAGTCTGTGATGCTGAAGAACAACAGGCATAGTGAATGGTGTGATGTTTGGTTCTAATTCTGGTTGGGCTTGCTGTTGTAAATCCGGGCTGGGTTGTGGGAGAAGTGAGGGTGACTGATGATGACCAGACTTTCACTTCCTACTAGTCTGTAGGATTGCATGGGCAGTAACATAAGAACTGCTGCAGTGAAAGTAGCAAAGCATGTGAGAAAGCTTGTGAGCAGCTTGTTCCCCTCTTGATCCCAGGCTGAGGTCACATTAACTATTCTTTGTTGGGACTGTTTTGTTTTTTTCCCCATCACTGATGGAGGTGCGTTCTGATGATGTTTTGAGGTTTTAGACTTCTGCTTTCTTTGCTGAGCTTCTGTAAGCATCACGGTTTTTCTGAGTCGGTAGTACAGGCATAGAAGTATCTCTCTTGGCAGAGCAGTTCTGAAAGAATACCTGAAGGAGTTGGGGTTTGGAGAAAAAAAAAAAACAACAAACTTGTTTAAATATTCAGGCAGTCTTGAGGAGATGTGTAGAGTGTCAGCAGGAACTGGAATTGTGGCTGTTGTGTGAGTACAGCTGTTGATTGTATGAGTCAGCAAGTGTATTGCTACAGCTCTTAAGCAACTTCCATAAAAATAACAGCGAACCAATGCATGTTGGGAACCTTTATCAAGCCTAAAGCACGCTACAGATCAAATTTGCAGTCTTTCCATTAATGGAGTTAACTTTAAAACTTTCTAAAAGTTTGAATGGTTTCCTACAGATGGAAGACAGCTGGAATTCTGACCTGTCAGTTGCTGGTTCGGCATTTCTGTACGTTGTACCAGGTATTAGACTTCCTACAGGCACGTAAAAGAAACAGCAAAAACCTTAAGAAGCTAAAGAACTTTCTAACAGAGCAACTAATCCTAAGACACTCTATAAAGCTAACCAGAACAGAGCATAACATAATAGTTGATGCCACAAACAAACTGCAGCTGTTAATTGAGGTGGCCTGAAGCTAGTGAAGGCCGATGTCTTGTAGTACCTTTGTTTTGTTTTGCTGTACTTGTATTTTAATAATCTGCTAT